ATGTTAATGTGTGCTCAAAACCATCTTTACACCCATTATTGAGCATATATTATCTTTAACGTAAGTCAATGTTAACTACATTTATAGATGGCGCCACGTCTTTACACACAACATAAAAACTTAAATTTTCTATAACACAACACACACAGTGTGGGGAGAGAGCACACAAACGTCTTGTATATATCTCAGAGTGTGCACTATCACTCTACGAAGGAATGCAATGAACAAAATGGACGCCACTATTGCAATAACACATACCCTCAGCTGAAGTTCCAACACCAACAGCCACCATAAGGCTGATGTGAAAAGCAGTTTCTTGAGTTATACCCAATTTTTACTTTGACCCTTGACCTTTTAACTTCAGCCCATATGACATTTCTGTGGCCAATGATCGTCAATTAATTAATGACGTGAACCACTGTGGAAGGATATTAAGGAGGTGGGTGTTGAAAGTGGGTAACAGAAAGCACCCCTACCGCGACATCTTTGGCCTCAACCTCTTTCTACAAAGTTACCCTGACTATTGAACAATGTATACCACGTTTTAAGTATACACATATTGAATTATTAAAGCTTAAAAACACGTTTGGTGAGGTAATAATGAATACTGTAATAATGTTACGTTATAAATAAACTGTGTGAAAGTTAGAAGTTTTGTGTTATTTATCATAGCATCCACCCCCACGTTGTTTTTTTTTTAAGTTCATAACCCGGACAAAGGACGGGTACCTCAGTTTGTAGTTTCTATGAAACGTCACTAACAAGCAGCAAACGTAGATTAGCATGTCAAGAAAAATATATCTTGTCAAGTTAGTCACAATATATTTGTTATAAAACATCACTAGCATGCAGCAAACAAAAAACATGTTAAAAATCATGTACACGTGTAACCAGTACATGTGTATTTTTGTATTTGTGTTCGTTATATTAGAAACTTTCAAATTTGTAATATAAATTTCGGGATTTTTAATATTTTTAAAGGTTTAAGAAATTTCCAGATATTTCTTGTATAATATTATCGCTAATTAATGTATTCCATTCCTTTTGTTTCAGATTGCTCTATGAAACAGGTAACCATGCCAACAGCAGAGCGCAAGAGTGGCGTGCATCTGATCCACCCTGAAGGTGTTGAGTATGCTGTCCCTACTTATTGCGACATGGATACTGACGGTGGAGGTTGGACAGTAATTCAACGAAGAGAGGACGGATCAGAAGATTTCTACCGTGACTGGGAAGACTATAAACGTGGATTTGGAGAACAATCGGGAGAATACTGGCTAGGAAATGAGGTTATCCATCACATGACCACCATGGACAATTACACTTTGCGAATGGACATGTGGGATACGTTTGGCCACTACAAATTTGCTGAGTACGAGATATTCATTGTGGCTAACGAAACTGACAATTACCGCCTGGTGATTGGTGGTTACCATGGAAACGCCAGTGATGCGATGGAAAATCACAATGGGATGGCTTTCAGCACCAAAGACCGCGATAACGACGCGAGTAGCACCCACTGCGCAGTGTACTATTCTAGTGGCTGGTGGTATAATCACTGTCAGTACGTCAACATTAATGGCCGATATAACATCGGACTCACGTGGTACGATATTGACCAACACGAGTGGGTGCAACTTACTAAGGTTGAGATGAAGTTAAGACCCTCGAAAATAAGTTATTTGTAGGAATGAAGTTCAGAAATTACATTAATTAAAGAACAAAGAAAACAGATGGCGTCTTGGATAAGAACTTTGGTGTATCACGCTGATTATTCCTCAACAATAAATATAAATTAGTCATGAGAAATTGTATAATAAAAGTCTTAGAATTGTGTAAGTGTGTAAGTTTCTACCAAATTGATCGTGAGCTGTGAAAGTTTCTCGTGCCAAGTTGCACTTGTTCAATAGCTCCATTGATACGCTATTTTTGGAACACTGCCGAATTTTATCTTATTTACCTTTTTATTCAAGATTTGTTTTGTAGGTGCTTATAAACGATTGAGACATAGTCATTGTACATAGAAGCTTTAAAAATATTGATGTTTTCAATCATTTCTTGAAGTTCCTTAGAAACAGTCAATGTGTTGTCCAAGTTTTCTGATAATTTCTTAGCCTTTTTGAATGCAAAAGTTCTTGTACTTATATTTATTTTTTTAACTGAGACCTAGCTGAAAAATAATTACAATTATAATACAGTGCTAAAACTTCGTAACCTCTATTGGATATTTTTCTGTGTGGAGAAACACATTACGAAATATCGGCGTTTATTCAGTTTAACCACAGTTATAACGTTTTCTTATAGCACTATCCGTACAGACACCACATCTGTATCTTCGTAAACTAAATTTCAAACAATTAAATAAGACGTATTGATCTTAATTCTGGTTGTTGTGAAAGGATCAGATGAAACGCTTTACGTCTCTCAACTTCTGTTTGCTATTTATTTCCGTAATTATTCTTCATTCTCCGCCTTTTAAATATTCCGGTCAATATTGTTTTGTATAATATTTACCATGGATCATAACAAATTTCATATTAGTACAATTTTTATTTGAAATAACTATTTCTGGTCTTATACTTAGTTATTTCTGAATTAGTAAAACGTGTGGTATGCTATTTTTAAAAATATAGTTGTAAATAGTTCCATTGAAAATGTATATAGATATATAAACATACATACATATGCCATAAAAATATACATATTTCGAACATATGTGTTTTTAATTGAGAAAGGACAGTATAAATTTCCCAATATTGTTTGCCTTTGTACTCGGTGTGTAATATCCTAAAATTTTGATTCACGATTCTTGAGTTTACTGAATCAAAGCATTGTCAGAGATTCTAAGAATAAAATATTCAGTACTCTATACAGCTAGCGTACAGGATTATTTTTTAACCTCAGTTACGGAATCTTCACTTTATTATCTGTTTTTATTTATTGTAATTTCTGGTTGTGGTATCAATCACTTTGAAACTGCAAAGAGCGCGCCATGAAACATTTGTGAAGAATAAAGTTAATTGAAATAAAATAAATACCGGTAATAAAAAAAAATCTGAAAACAGGTAAGGTAGAAGCTATAGTTTAATTTTTAAAATGAAAACTAAGTCATCGAAGTCACGAGCCCATGATTCTTCATACAAAACAAACGTGGTAACTAATTAAGCTATCAGACTGTGAATGTTAAAGTTCTCATATTTTCTTTCTTCGAAAGGACGGAATGGCAATACTTCTTATTTGTGCTAATTAACATGAAACAACTACAAATACATGATGGGCTTAGCTAACATATTCTTCAGCTTTCTCTTCTTAGATCTAACTAGCATCTGCATTATATCGTCAGATACTGTTATTAATTCTATCAAGCAACATTGTTAGTCCTATCAAGCAACTGTATTAGATCGTCAGATACTGTTATTAATTCTATCAAGTAACACTGTTATTCCTATCAAGCAACTATATTAGATCGTCAGATACTGTTATTAATTCTATCAAGCAACACTGTTATTCCTATCAAGCAACTGTATTAGATCGTCAGATACTGTTATTAATTCTATCAAGTAACACTGTTATTCATATCAAGCAACTATATTAGATCGTCAGATACTGTTATTAATTCTATCAAGCAACATTGTTAGTCCTATCAAGCAACTGTATTATATCGTCAGATACTGTTATTAATTCTATCAAGCAACACTGTTATTCCTATCAAGCAACTGTATTAGATCGTCAGATACTGTTATTAATTCTATCAAGCAACATTATTAGTCCTATCAAGCAACTGTATTAGATCGTCAGCCAACGCTGTTAGCCCTATCAAGCAACTGTATTAGATCGTCAGCCAACGTTGTTAGCCCTATCAAGCAACTGTATTAGATCGTCAGCCAACACTGTTAGTACTATCAAACTAAAGTATTAATTAGTCAGTTATTTGTGTGTGTGTGTGTGTGTGTGTGTGTGTGTGTGTGTGTGT